TCTTTCTGAAAAGATTTTAAATCTGCACAAATGTTTTTCTTCAAAAATCATCCCGTTGTTCCGTTTTTGTGGCACGCGAGTTTTCAACATTCAAACGTTCATAACTTCCTTCAGTATCAACTTTCTGCAGGTTTTCAAAGCTAATTATTGTTCCGTTTTTGTCTCTATGATTTTTTTAGACCACTTTCCTTTCCTGAAAAGCGACTTTTCAATCTTCGAACCCTCATAATTTCCTTCAAATACTGTATGATGGGAAGCGGTGAAAATCATTGGAGTCTACATGAGAATGTCACATGCGTAATTTTCCTGAAAATCGCTCTCACAGAATTTTTAATAGGTCTTTAGTAATGAAACCAAGGAATTCGTTGAAAATCCCTCCACTTAGGTTTGGTCTGAAAGCATCAAGCTTCTTCTGAAGAAATGCGTCTGCTCACCATCGCAGACAGGAATTTTTTTTAAAAAACTGATGCTCACGGATCCGGCGTGAACCTGTCAGCGATTAGCAGTCGCACTGGCATTTGAAGGTCCTCTACTTCCCTGGAGACGGTGAGTGTCGCGATTGTAGTTGTGCGTGTCATGGTAATCCTGTTTCACTTGTGAGATTATATTATTAGTATTTACTAATTCTTTGTAAGATTATGTTGAGTCACATTTTCTCACAAATTAAGTTTCCTACTACATTGCACATCCCCTCCACTCCTCAGCAGCTGAGGATCGCTATGCATCCCACCGCTGGTTTCCTCGTTTACGACCCCCTCCCTTTCCTTAGGCCTGAATACGACCCTCTCGCTGTCCTTTACGCAACGGGCGGTTGACTTTGCTAGAAACCGAGGTGGAGGTGTAGTAGGTGATGTGCGGATGAATCAAACTGAGAAAAATGGCCCTGAACTTTAGGGGGACCCCGTTTGCCCGTTTGCTCACGCGTAAGATGTTGAACTTCTTCTAATTGAACTCACCAATCCTATCGCTATCGCTAAAGCTACTGAGCGGAGTTCAAGCGAGAGGGAGTGGGCAACTGCGCGGGTTCACCTTGCTAGGCCGACGAAAGCATGCCCTCCGCATCCAAACCGTTCACACCCTTTAGGGCCCTACATTTCTACCAGGCTATATTTCCCCTTCTTCGACTTCCGGCCTTATTGTAGAATCCTTCTCCTAAGGAAATGTCTAGTGAAACGGCCGCCTGCCTCCATCTTAACCAAAAATCGGGACTTCAAGATCCATGCTTCAGTATAACAAGAGAACAAACCTCAGTATTGGTCTAGATAGTTAGTCCAAATGCTATGCCTTAGTTGGCTATAGTTTTTTTTTCGGATTCCCGTCGTATCTTTCACAAAGGATAGGTGTGGGCTCTTTATTTATTGCACGCATAGGTGCGCTATATTAATCACATCTTACAAGGAAGGTCTTTCAGGGTGTGCCAAGCTTTTTCAAAACGGTCTTTTGCATGATATAGGGGCACATGCGGGAACCACAGAACCATGGTTAATTTTTCCTGAACGGCCCTCTGAATACCAGAAAAGGGGGTCCCTAGTCACACTTTTTCACCAGTTTTTCAATCAAAGTCTATTTGTAAGGGTTACTGACGGTCCTAATCATGAATATGGTACTAATTATTCATGCTAACTCCATTTTGCGCGAATTTTGAAACGTCAACTCGAAATGCAAAAATTTGTCACCACGAGGAATCGAACTAGGGACCCCTTTTCTGGTATTCAGAGGGCCGTTCAGGAAAAATGAACCATGCTTCTGTGGTCCCCATATGTGCCCCAATGTCATGCAAGAAACCATTTTGAAAAAGCTTGGCACACCCTGAACGACCTTCCCTTGTTAGCATCTGTAAAACTGGGGAACACAGAACATTAACACATTGCGGACCGCCGTTGTATGAGCACCTTCGTAGCTTTTTTATATTTTTCAAAAACGTATCATCATTAATCTATCAACAATTTTATCAGTGATGACACGTATGGTTTCCAGGCTCTGAAAATGAGTGCAACCAGTTCATGAGCATTGAAAAATGTCAAATAAATCAGATTAAACATGCTGTTTCGTGCGAAAAATCGTGCGCCAACCCTGTGGTCGCGCACGCGGTAGACTCCAGTCTGTGTTGAATATGAGTGGGGGCGACGGACTATACAATCGTCGGCTAATGAGGTCACGCCGCTCACGCGGCGAGAATCGTCGCGTGCGGCAGTTGCTGCGGCGATTTCTGTGTGGACCTTTTCTTATCCATCCATGCCCATAAGTTGGCTAGGTGACTGATAACACCAGAGTGCTGGACATCAGTAAGCCAGCAAGCGTCACTGTAAGATCCCTGCAGTGATTTAAGCCTCGCAGTACAAACTTGTAGGCCGGCGCCCCTCCGGGCGCGGCAGCGGCCCCGGCGCCCCCCCCGCCCGCCCCGCCCCCGCCCCCCGCCCCCCGCCGTGTAAAGGTTGTCCTTTTGGATTTAATTTGACTTCTTTATTAATCAGTTTCCTGAATTTCTATCAGAGAGTGATAATCTGGTTCAATCGGAAAGAATATTGCGTATCAAGACACAGAGTAGCGGCGAGGAAGGCTCAAACATAAGCATGATATGATAAGTATGTAATAACGGCGAGCGAAAACGAAACTGCATTTTAAAGGTTTAAGTGGTTCTTATTTCATGTTTCATGACGGGAAACATGATCTGATCGTACATTCCCCAATGCTTGGATGCTGAGTTCTTTGCAAATTCGCCGCGATATTGCTGGCTGCGGCGGCCGGCGCGGCGACCTACTTACTGCCACGATTGAATAGTCACGCACCCCCGAGGAATATTTTGGCAGCAGTCGAGATAAGGAGATGATTCTCCAGGCACGAAATTTTGAAAAGCAGAGATGTCAAAATGCAATTAGAAGGTTCCTGTAGGCCCAATTGAAGTTGTACTCGAACAGAAATGTGTTCAGTATTCGTCAGTCAGTGTTTAGAAGTCAATGGGCGGATAGCGCTAGGGATAACGCCACTCCTAGACGGGCACGAAGCATACGCATGGAATCAGAAACTGAATTTTCGGATGTCAGGTATTCCTACTCCTAACAATTAAAGCCACGAGTCAGGATTAGGTGACCATAGAAGGCCTTTCCATCACTAATATTTCCAGGAATGCGCTCAGAGGGGTGATGCCACACTCCTGACTCGAGATTGCGCGCCGTCAAGGCCTCTGGCCTACTACTTACAGCGATGGGTTCGTTACATCAGCTGGTCCCGCCCACCGCGGGATGTGGTGCGTGGCTGGCCTAACGTGTGAGATCAGCTAGGTTGATTGCCGTATCAACCGATGGAACGGCTGGCATATCCGGAAAACTCGTTTGGACGTGGCTCTCCCCCGAGCAAGCCTCCTTCACTGCTAGAAGGGAAGGGGTTTCGATTTCGGTCTTGTCGACGGTTTCTTTGCGTTTTTTCTTCACTGTCGTTCCACCTCCCATCTCTACACTCAATTTCAGGCGCCATAATGCCCAAACACGAGCCTGACTTTTGCCTTTAAGTTTCCGACCACCCACAGGTCAACTCCAATCTTAGACAACTATTCAACTTTTAGGTAGCGTTGAGTTGGTGATCGCACACGGGATTAGGCGATTAGGCGACTAGGCGATGATTTCAAAAGAATGATGCGTGCAGATAGAGCGATTATTTGAGTAAGCGATCAGGCGAGTAGATGAGTAGGCAAGTAACACGTTGACGACAGGCTGACGCGCAAGCGCGTCAGAAATTTGGCACCGCATTGACATTCTGACGCGCATGCGCGTCAGAACTATCATTCATTTTTATTGTGCTTGCGCTCCTTCTTCTCGAGTTTTTTGTATTCATTCTATAGATAATACATTAGCATAACTATAAACCACATGGCAGCCAGAGTGGTCAAATATCCCTTGATTTAGCAAAGATTTTCTGAACGCACAAAACTTTCATTTCAATTCTTTCCTAGTATTCCTTCACATTCACATGAAAGATTGTAGAAGCAGTTAATACAAAACTCTGTGAGTTTCAAGATATTTGTATTTGATGGAAGAACTTAGGTATAAATGCTTTTAACTTCATTCGCAGCGAAAGTGATGTTTTTTGCTTCTTCGTGGTCATTATTATTTTCTTCTGAACAAAAATCTACTGCATTTATATAGATGACCTTTATGCTTTCATCCTTGCCGAAATAATTCTGTGAGATTCAAGTTGTTGTGCATTTTAAACAAAAAATAAGCGGAAGTAAGGTGAGGACGGCGCGCTCGCAAAATCGCTCCTGTCCCACGCGGTGCAAAATGCCAAAACACGCGATTTCGTCAACGCGTCAAACATGCTATGCCCATGAGCGATCGCCTGATCGCCTACTCGCCTACTTGGCCTAAGCCTTTAGTGGGCATGTACGATCGTCAGCTTTGAACGCTGTCCAACACGTGTAAAATGCTGAACGTGTTGACGTAAACGACTTTACGTAAGCTGTTCACAGCTACCAGTGGTCAACTCAAAACGACACTCGTTCCATCAGTCCTTTCTGGCCCCGCCCATCGCGGCAGGAATGGTACGGGAAGTGAGCTTCTCTGGAATCGTTGCTTAACTTTTTTTGCTCAAAACTTTGCACATATGAACGGTGCCTTAAATTTGCCCAATGTTTCTTCGTGCATTGCTTCAGCATTGACGTCCACTCACAAATTGCGAGAGCCTTTCATCTTCGGCTTGACAGCGTAGATGCTCGGGAGCTACTAGTAGCTGCTGGGGGCAAATAAATAATCCATTTTGAGACGACTCTCACTCTAACGGTACGGTCTATTTTCTTCTACCGTCGAGCGCTTTCATTCCAAATAGTCCCTTATTGCTCATCGAATCCGGTTCTTTGAGTGATTGGGTCAACACAATACTACGGCAGTGCAAGTAAATAAGTGCTCAAGAAGAGTTTGCCAAAAACATCACACCTGACTGGGAATTTGCTAAAGAAGAGCGCAACTATAAAATCGTTGACGTGGAACATCGGTTCTGACTTGAGCATGAATACAGTACCACTTCTTTGTTTGCTCTACTCACTCCTTGTGATTTCGTTTTCTTCTCCTCTACCACGGTCTGCAATGAGTGAGGCTGCCAAATCTAAAGGGTAAGGTATGTTGAGTTGGCTAGCCGTAATCCTCGCAAGATTTATGACACGTTTCATTTCAGGCTACGTCGAGTGAAACGCCAATTCTTTGGTTATCCTCGCTTTGGCGGCTACTATCCTCGTCGATTTGGTGGCTTTGGAGGAGGCTATCCTCGCTTTGGAGGAGGTTATCCTGGCTTTGGAGGTTTTGGTGGCGGATATCCTGGATTTGGAAGCAGCTGGGGAAGCTCGTTTGGTCTTAGCGTCAATCTCCAAATCGGAGGGTATAACAACGGGTATCTTGGTGGATTTGGCTAGCGATTGGATCATTCATTAGGGTGTTGGTAGATGTCATTTCAACAATATCCATAGACAGTGATAATATTTATTTAAATGTTGTTCAATAGGTGTTTGTTTAGATACTCATTTTTTGAACCAAAGGACACATTTCATTACAATTATGGATACCTAACAACCCGTGAAGGCTAAGTTTCCTGAGTCTTCGGCTGCCTGTGCAATTGGGCGGTTGTAAGAACAACTAGGATACCAATTGATATGTGGTATCTTAGTTGATCTTACAACCAGCAAATTCGATTGCAATTCAGTAGCTTAGACGTGTGGCCTCCTCTATTCGTAGTTTTCTCTGATCACAAAATCAGTTCCCCGTCAAGCGCCGGGACCTTCCTTTCCTGCGCAAGCTTTACGTCTTCTACTGTGGTCTTTTCTACATATGACACCAACATCTCGAGGAGGTGATCGCATGCGGCAAAAAGGAGTTAATAGAGGTCATCGCCACGATCATGACATGGCAATAGAGATTTGTTAGCGGTAGTTTACTCCATGAGCTTCCTTATCACTCACTTCATTTTGCGGACGGACAGACGGACATACATACATACATACATACACACAAGTTAGCGGTTTATATAATAGAAGGATTATTACGGAAGCTAAAGGCAACTAAAGGGTTAGCGAAAAAATTGGAGAAACAGTCAAAAACTCAAAAAACGGGACCCGCTCTCCGTCATTCATTTTTAGAGATGGAGAGTTTTATTTCCAGCCTACACCCCTTATCACTCCTTGCACATACGGCCGTGGGCGTGTCTCAGGAATGAAATGATTTCTTTCCATTTGAAATTGTTGTTGCTCAAAGAAGCTGACATAAACACTAGCTATGCTAAGAAAATTGAAGAAAAATAAAAAATGCAAGATTACGCAGGTTCGCTCTGAAAAAGTGAATTTCCAGGTGGTGCTAGGACGACCTTTCCAGGAATATCTCCGCGATACCGCTGGAATCGATCCTTTGTCTGAACCTCAGCCACTTCTGACTCCTTATTTTGATGCAACTGCAGGTTGAAGCATAATGAGTGAAGATCCCAGTCAAAGCTGATGTCATCAACAAGCCAACAACCGATGGGGATTCGTCTCAAACATCACTAGCCGATGCACACGCTGATGATGAACCCTCAAGGGATTCAAACTAGCGGTTGAGACAAGTTTCCAGCTAAATTGAGATCTCAGAGGGTGGTCGTTGGATATCGAATTTCGGTATAAATTAATTGGAACACTCGATCGAAACAGCTGTGCTTAGAACTATAGAAAAGGCTGCTTGCTACTAATTCAGGACTGACTGAATTGTTGTCTCATATCACATGGAATAAGTTGAAAAGTCCTAAAAATTTGATAAGAAGCTGTCGCAAAAAGTCGTGATTCCGTAAGCGGTCTGCCCTTCCATTACCTTCCTTAATCCAATGGAAACGATCTGTTTTGGTTCAGATATTGACATGCAATGTATTCTAGAATGGACCAATTTAAGCACGCAACCGCGCGCATCAATGGTGGGCTTCAGTGAAACTGGACAACTTGCAGAATATTAGGTCACGTGGCTGAGAAACTAACAGTAAGATGTTTTGAAAGATGTGTCACATGAATTTCAAAGGTTGTCCAATTTCGCTGAAGATTGTCGCGTAATGCGCGCAGTAGCATGCGGAATGAAAATGGTACTTATCATGACTTCGAAAAATTTCGTATTTATATCGAATTAGAATTTCTTAGTAGTCTAATAAATTTTCCTGTATTAGCATTGGTGTGTGAATGAAATGCGATCAATGACCAAATATCTAGCATCATAGGACGTAGCATATGATAAAATGCCTAACTATCATGAGAGTTTACTATTGGTCCATGTCCGGATAATTTAGCAACTCAACAACTTCTATTCTCTTGGTGAAGGAATAGAAATGGAACATAGTCAGATGCTCATCGGTTTAGTTCGATGGAGTGCGGACTCAGTTGTCGTTACATTTATCATTACAGTTACCGCTCACTATCACTTCGTGTCACCTTCCATAGAAGCTTGTCACCTTGACTGTTTGCCATGATACGCAACAGAGTTGGGGACATTTGCTTTCAGGAGCCCCTTATCATTCCTTATCATGTGTTGTCAGTGCATGGTGTCTCCTCGCCCTCTCCATGCAATGTGTGGGAGCTAGGGTCTTAGTGTAACCACGAAGGCTACAACGAAATTAGTGGTACTCAAAATTCCTAACTTCCTTATCAACCGTTATCGCTTGTTATCACTTTTGATCATCCGCTATCCGTGTTCCCGTCCCATCCCCTATACCACATGTGAGAGCCAAGGTTCCAATGTAACCGCAAGGGCCGCAACGAAACTGGTGTAGTATCCACACTTTGACGCCCCTTATCAGTTCTTATCAGTTGCTACCACATTTTTCACTCACCTTCTTGGTCCCCGCCTCACCCCACATATCATGCATGAGTGCAAAATGTTACTGTCAATGCGAAGGGCGTACGAAACTGGTGGCACTGGCATTCACGCCCACGTTATCAGCTCTTGTCACCTACTATCACCTTCTTTCGCTATCTGTTCGGGTCCCCATCCCATGCCATATAATTCCTAGTGGTACAAGCTTTCCACTGCCATCGCGAGAAAAGGAATGGCAAGGTTCCATGATGAGAACAGGTGGAGGTGTAGCGCAAAAGAACCTTGATGATCTTAGCTCAATTTTTTTTTCAAATCTAGTCCAACAGAAAGCAATCCGCAACTACAGTGCCCTTCATAGCAGACGGTAGCTTACCGACGAAAGGTCGAGATTTGTTGCGGTAAAACTCGTAGGGGAAAGAAGAACTTCTTGCCCACTTATGTAGTTTGTAGATTTTGATAAATCAGCGGCAGTTATTATGCTCGAGATTATGCTTGTAAAAAATGCATGTAAAGCGACAAGAGAAAATCAAGTTTCGAGCATTTTTGGAAAACAGAGATTACCAGTTAGATGAACCAGCTTGGCAAGCGCATATCTAGTACACACCAGATTGGTCTCCTGGCAATCTCCGCAACTTCCCTCCTCTGTAAGCTTTGCGTCCTCCTCCTGTCCATACGCTCCCTTCCTCCACTACTCCACTTACCACGAAAGTGCGCTAAGTAGGTGTTCCATATAGCCTGTGGCGGTGTTATCACAATCATGCAATTGCAAAACATTGATAACGCAAGTCCTGCGAGCTACCCAGATTTGTTAGCGGCTTGTTTATTCCATTAGCTGCCTTATCACTCACTTCATTTTGACAGACGGACAAACATACAAACAATTCGACACCAAGGTTATGGTTCATATAATGAAGAGATATTGAGATACAGTAGCGGTCAAAAGTTTGGAAACTTTTTTATTTTTGATCTAGCGTAGCCAATAGACAATGAAATTGCCCCGAATTCACATATTATATACAGAATCAAGTGTAGATTACGATGGGTAACATGATTTTTTGAAAACTGAAATCGCATTTGAAAAATACGAATTTTTATAAGAAATGGCGCGTCAAAAGTTTGGAAACTTCCGAATTCCAAAGCGGCAAAATAGCTCTCAAATCCACATGATAAATTAGTTATTTGATGAGTAGCTTTGAATTTCTATGTTAGCGTCGTTTTTATTGACATGGAGTTGATTATAAAATAATTTTAGGATTTTTAAGTCGAACCTCATACACTGTGAACTAAATCACATTGTTTGGTGGGATTCTTAACTGGAATGTGGGTAGAGCGACATGCCACTTCTTCCGTGGAGATGTAGAACTCAATTAGACTTCAGATCTTGACTTGGTCGCTTCATAGCAGCTTCTTTTTCTGGGTTAGGAAGGCGGCAGGCCTGCATGGGTCATTTCCGCGATAGAAAACCCATCTTTTCCGGCTAGTTCTGACTATCGAAGGAAGCATTGTATTCTACAGACTATACTTGTACTTAGCCCAACCCACATTTCGCTGGATACCTAGAACTGTGGAATCGCCGAATGGTCGGACACATGTTCAGCCATGACA